TTTTCCAAAATCCACGGTGCACCGAATATTGAAAGTTCATAGATTGCATCCTTACCATATAACTTTGACACAACAATTGCAAGCCGGAGACTTCGAAAGAAGGCGTCTGTTTTGTATAATAGATGGGCACAAACAATGATACAACAAGATCCGGAATTTTTTCATTACGTCTTATTTAGTGATGAAGCCACTTTTCATAATACTGGTCAACTTAATAGGCACAATTGCCATTATTGGTCTGTAGAAAATCCTCATTGGCATCGTGAAGTGAATCATCAGCAACGTTGGAGTTTGATCGTATGGTGCGGTATTGTCAATGGAAACTTGATTGGACCTTATTTCTTCGACGAAAATGTAAATAGTCACAACTATTTACAATTTTTAATAAATGATTTACCGAAATTGCTCGAAAATGTTGATCTACAAACGAAAGTCCGCATGTGGTTTCAGCAAGATGGTGCACCTCCTCATTAGTTCGCGACTATTTAAATATCAGATTCACAAATCAATAGATAGGACGTGGTGGATTTGTAGAGTGGAGTCCGAGGTTTCCGGATTTGTCTAATTTGGACTTCTTTTTGTGGGGCTATCTGAAAAATATTGTCTACGCTGAAGCACCCACCACAAGACAAAATATGATGGAACGCATAATAAACGCATGTCGCAACATTCCAAGAAATGTTCTTCTTGCAACCATTAGAAGTTTTCAAAATCGCATTCAGTTATGCCTTGATAATAACGGTCAATTATTTGAACATTTAGTTAGATAAATTTGCTTATGGAGTGGACTTTAACATGAGGTCAGACATTAAATCTTGAGGTTGATAACCAGATGATACTCGACCTTGCCTTAACTGGCTGGGTGACTCCTCTATCTTGCCTTAACTGGCTGGGTGACTCCTCTATCTTGCCTTAATTGGCTGGGTGATTCCTCTATCTTGCCTTAACTGGCTGGGTGACTCCTCTATCTGGCCTTAACTGGCTGAGTGCCCCCATGTGTCCACCTTCTCGTGGTGGGGATGTTGTGGCTTACGATCCGCTCGGGCTATATCAGCTCAGGTTCAACCATGCTAAATGCTGGCCGGCAGGGAGGTCCAAACTAACGGACACAAACCGAAAAGAACTATAGAATCTCACCATGGAGCGGTGAAGGAGCACTTGAAGGTAGCGGTGAAGGTCAAGGTCAAGGTCATATTCGGACGTAAAATCTTCCGCTCTTTCCACTTCC